TTTGGTCTTAAATTTGGGGCTCTGGAGTGAATGAGTATCTTCACAATAATCTTAAATGTTAGGAAATAGTGTTAATTCCATGTAACCATATGAAGAAACTGAGGCATAAGGAGGTTAAGTCACTTGTCCAAGGTCATAGCTAGTAGGTCATGGAGCTGAGTTTGCACCAAGAGTTTTTAAAAGTAGGCCAGGCATAGTGGCTCATTCCTGTAATCCTAGCACTATGGGAGGCCAAGGTGAGTGGATCACTTAAGTTCTCGAGTTCTAGACCAGCCTGAGCAAGACTGAGACCCTGTCTCTACTAAAAATGAAAAACAGGGAAGAGGATCACCTAAGCCCAAGAGTTTGAGATTTCTGTGAGCTATGAAGCCATGACACTCTAACAAGGGTGACCAAATGAGATTCTATTACCCCCCTCAAAAAAAAGTTTTGAAAAGTTCTGTAATGTTTGTTTGTTTTTGAGGCAGTCTCACTCTTGTCACCCTGGGTAGAGTGCCGGGGTGTCATAGATCACAGCAACCTCAAACTCTTGGGCTCGAGCAATCCTCTTGCCTCAGCCTCCCACGTAGCTGGGAGTACAGGCGCCAGTCACAATGCCTGGCTATTTTTTTATTGCAGTTTGGCTAGGCCTGGGTGAGAACCCACCACCCTTGGTATATGGGGCTGGCACCCTACTCACTGAGCCACAGGTGACACCTTGGGTGAGATAAGTTTTAAAGTGTTAACTTTCCTGTTCCCTCCTTTGTACTGCTCAAGTTTTCTTTAAAAATAAGATTCAGATTCTCTGTTTACTAATTTTGTTGATGCTCTGTTGTCAAGACAACAATATCTGTTTGCCTAGAATAGGGTTTTCTGGTATTCTTGGAGGAAAGAACCCAAAAGCGAAGCTAATTCTTACTTTCATTTTTTTAAAGAAGAAAATGGTTTCCTGGAGTGGAATGATTTTTATAACAATTATGAGGCTCGGCGCCAGCCACATGCACAGAGGGTGGCGGGTTCAAACCCAGCCCAGGACATCTAAACAACGACAACTGCAATAAAAAATAGCCAGTGATGGCTCGGCGCCTGTGGCTCAAGCGGCTAGGGTGCCAGCCACATACACCTAAGGTGGAGGGTTCGAATCCCCAGCCCAGCCCGCCAAACAACAACAATGATGGCTGCAACCAAAAAATGGCCAGGCGTTGTGGCGGGTGCCTGTAGTCCCAGCTACTTGGGAGGCTGAGGCAGGAGACTCGCTTGAGCCCAAGAGTTAGAGGTTGCTGTGAGCATGATGCCATGGCACTCTACCCAGGGGGATAGCTTAAGGCTCCATCTCAAAAAAAAAAAAAAAATAGCCAGTGGCAGGCGCCTATAGTTCCAGCTATTTGGGAGGCTGAGGCAAGAGAATCGCTTAAGCCCAAGAGTTAGGTTGCTGTGAGCTGTGACACCAGAGCACTCTATTCTACCCAGGGTAACAGCTTGAGATGATCTCAAAAAAAAAAAAAGTAAGAATTATAATGAGAGGCAATTCAATATTTCTGCATTGTTCTAATTCACTTGAATAGGAAAGGCACATAATGATGGGGTATTTGATAAAATATAAAGCTCTGTGCTATGAATTTTATTTATTTATTTATTTATTTGGTTTTTGTTTTGAGACAGAGTCTCCTGTCACTCTGACTAGAGTGCTCTGGCATCATAGCTCAGCAACCTCAAAGTCCTGGATTCTATTGATCCTCTTGCCTCAGCCTTCCAAGTAGCTGGGACTACAGGTGCCCACAACATCTGGCTAATTTTCTATTCTTAGTGGAGACAGGGTTGTCTCCCTCTTGCTCAGCCTGGTCTCAAACTCCTGAGCTCAGGCCATCCACCCACCTCAGCCTCCCATAATGCTAGCATTATAGGTGTGAGCCACCAAACCTGGCATGTGCTATGTATTATACTAGTTAACGTTATTGAACATTAATGTGCCAGGTACTGAGCTAAGATCTTTACACATGTAAATTTAAGTCTCATGCTTTAAACCAGGGGTCCTCAAACTTTTAAACAGGGGGCCAGCCCTCAGACCGTTGGAGGGCCAGACTGCGGCCCCCGGGATGAGTTGGCTGTTGAGCAGGACAGGCAGCGGCAGCAAAAACACCTGGTGGGCCGGATAAATGTCCTAGGCGGGCTGCATGTGGCCCACAGGCCATAGTTTGAGAACCCCTGCTTTAAACCTTTAAGCAAGGTACTATTATTATCCCCATTTGACAGCTGATGAAACCAAACTAGAATAGATCAATATACTTGCCCAAGACCACAGAGCTGGTAACCAGTGAAACTGGGATCTGAACTAAGTCTATCTAACTCCAAAGTCACTGCTTTCCATCACAATGTGGAAAGGATATAAATGTTTCAGATGGGGTATCTACCTTGACTCCAGAAATTATAACTCTATTGGCACGTCAAAACACATGGATGAAAAGCAAATAATAAGATACAGAGGCTCTTTTTTTTTTGAGACAGAGCCTCAAGCTGTTGCCCTGGGTAGAGTGCCATGGCCTCACAGTCTACAGCAACCTCCAACTCCTGGGCTCAAGTGATTCTCCTGCCTCTGCCTCTCAAGTAGCTGGGACTACAGCATGTACCACAAAGCCCGGCTATTTTTTTTTTTTTTCAGTTTTTGGCCGGGGGCGGGTTTGGATCCACCACCTCCAGCATATGGGGCCCACACCCTAC